CACATATTGGACATCACCACCGGAGGAATATGACACAACTCTTTGAACTCACATATCCAAAATAAAACCCATTTCACCATACATGCTCCTCTTTGACTTCCCAGATCTGTTATGGGAATTATTATCTGCCCAGTCATCTAAGCTAGAACCTCAGATCCATCCTCAGCTCTTCCCTACTGTCATCTAATCAGTCACTTACTGTTGAATTTACCTCCCATATAAACTTCCTAATCTGTGTTGTCCATATATACTGCCTTAGTTCAGTCCTTTATCATTTCTGGGCTGGACCACTGCAACAGCTTCCTAACTAATCTCTGCCTTTTTTTTTTTTTTTGTGAGGAGATCAGCCCTGAGCTAACAACTGCCAATCCTCCTCTTTTTGCTGAGGAAGAGTGGCCCTGGGCTAACATCCGTGCCCATCTTCCTCCGCTTTATATGGGACACTGCCACAGCATGGCTTGACGCAGTGCATCTGTGTGCGCCCGATCCGGGCGGTGAACCCTGGGCCGCCGCAGCGGAGCACGCGCACTTAACCGCTTGCGCAACCCAGCCGGCCCCTCTGCTTTTATTCTTAACATCCTACACACTCCTGTCAGATTTCTTTCTCAAATACGTATGGCTGTACCACTCCCTTGCTAAACCATCACTTAGCTATCTTTACCTTTAGCAGCATTTCCCAAAGTTTTATATGTGAACCCTTGGTATTACCTGAGATGATTTTAGGTGGTAGATGGGCAAATAGTTTTCCTTTTTTCTAGTTATGCTTTAATCTGAATTTGTAGTAGAAAAATATAAGTTTTCCACTTATGGCAGTGATATTTAAATTTAGTGTAAATTTGTTTAAAAAGTCAGTCTATTTAAGGAAAAATACTAATCAAAAATAGTATGGGGACTATTTGCAAATAATAAAAATCGTGACTCCTCAAATACTTGAAGTAGAGAAATTTCTTGCCTACAGGATAAGTTTCAAAATCCTTAGCATGGCATAAAATTTGGCCCTAAACTGTATTTCCAGCTTTATTTCCTAGTCACACAGCATACAGAATTTCTTGCCATTCTGATATTCATTCTTCAATAAGTATTTACCAGATGTCTACTATGAGCCAGGCACTGGTCTAAACTTTGGGGATATAGTTGTAAATAAGAGTCTCTGCCATAAAGATTACATTCTAATGGGAGAAACAGACAATAAGCAAGTTAGAAAGTAAACAAGGTAATTAAAGATTCGGATTTCAGTTCTGTAAAGGAAATAAACAAAATGAAGGATAGGAGGGTAGAGAAGACCCCTCCGGGTGACAGTAGTATTTTAGGGAGACCTAAAGGATGAGGTTGAACTAGCGATGTGAAGAGCTTGAGTAAAAGCATCAGGAACAAAAAGTTGGAAAAGTCTTGAGATGGGAAAGAGTACAATATAGTTGAGGGAAAGTGTAGGGAGAGCTTAATGGGTGAGAGGGAAGAATGGTGGTGGAAGAGGTTAGAGACATAGGCAGAGCTGACTGTGTGAGCCTGAATTTTATTCTAAGTGCAAAAATAAGTCAAGGAAGAGTTTTTAGCAGGATGTGACCAACTGATTTTTAGAAAGGTCACACTACCTACTGTGGACAATGGGTTAGTGTCCACTAGTCTCAATACAACTGCTTTTCCTGGAAAACTATCCAGCCTTAAAGGCGCAGTTCAAACAGACGTCCTCCTTTACATGGACCCTCCTTACTCCCAGTCCCATTAGAAACTTTCTTTGTACTGCCATAGCACTTTGTGATAGCAATTATCACTTTCATAATGTGATGTAAGTGATTTTCATAATAAAGTGATTGTTGATAATACAATTATTTTTCCTTGTATTGCCAGCACCTCCTCTAACATTAGACGTACAGGCACTCATAACTCTTTGATTAATAAATAAGTGAATCTGCAGTCCACTATTGTTTAAGGCCTACACTGGGATTCTTTGGGGGCAATATGGGTTTTGCCTTGTCGGGGGAAGAGGGAGAATCTCCCTCTGCCCTTTTCCTTAAGGTTCCTATGGCTGGCCAAATAATCAACAAGACAGGTTAGCAGGAGACAATAATACCAAGTTTAATAACATGTATACATGGGAGAAACTCAGAAATGAGCAACTCGTCCCTCTGTCTAAGCTGCTTGCTTAAGTATTGCAGCTAAAGGCGAGGAGCGTGTTGGGGGTGGTTAGTGGCCTGGGACTTCAGAGGGCAGGAGGACAATTCTTTTCAGAGTCATCTATAGATAACGTGGTCAGGGAGAGACAGAGTTTTTTGATAAAAGAGACTTGGTGCCTTTGCTATTGTAACCTCTATCCTACATTATCTTTATAGCCATCATGATAGAAGATCTGTTCCAGGAAGGAGCCACCATGTCAAATTCTTTAGGCAGTTAGTGGGGGAGGTCAAATGTCCCTCAGAGAAAACAATCAAGGTAAAGAGATATATTTCAGGGTGGCCAAATCTTGATCTCCCACAGCCTCAACGCCTAGGTTTTTGAACATGAAATACCTGTACCACCACCAGAGAAACTTTAAAACCCCTATTCTGTTTAAAGCCATGACTACTTTTTAATTCCCAGAGACGGTGGGAAGAGTTTCGGAGTTTAACAACAAAAAAAAGAAAGTTATCTGTTCACCAATGGTTTCACGCACAACTAGGTCTGTTAGTTTCCTTAAGAGAGAAATTCGGTGCTGCCGTACGTTCCAGAGGCAGCTTTTTGAGCCAGCATTGCTGACTGAACTATTTTTTAAAAATGCTTCCATCACACATGCAGCTGCTCCTCGGAACAGGTAAAGGCCTGGAAGTTTTGACAGAAAAACTTTCTTAAACTTCAATTTCCTAGAATGGTGTGGTGAAAAGAGACGGAAAGCAACCCTCTAATAAGGAAATTAGGCTGGGCTTCACTGTCAGTACTATTTCTCGTTGGCTGTCCTAGTCGAGAAATCCGCTGACTTGCCCACCCCCGAGCTTGTCCCTCACAGCGCTGCTGCTTTCAGCTCACGACCTGCTCAAGATGGCTACAGATACACTTCCGGCAGCTTCCCGAACTGGGCCCGCCTCTATTTGCGTATTTTCACCGCGCCGGGGGCCGGACTTAGAGTTAGCTTTTCATTGGTCAACTTGACGGGCGACCTTTCGTCTCCGCGACAGTTTCCCGAGGTGCCTAGTGCCTGAGCGGCACGGACGAGAGTTACAACGAAGGCAAGATGGCGGATGTGCTGGATCTTCATGAGGCTGGCGGCGAGGATTTCGCCATGGATGAGGATGGGGACGGTGAGGACAGTGGAGGCGGCTGCGGGAAGCGGGGAAGGTGCGAGAGAAGGGCGTTAACTGGAAAACATAATCTCCCTTTTCCCCAGCAGGGAAGATGGGAGCCGGGGAACTGGGTTTCGGTTGGATTAGAGACTCCGCCCCCTTCGAGAGGACTGGGGGTGGGACCGGGAAGGGACTGGGACTGGAGGTGGTGGGGTCTACTTTCAGATAATGTCTTGGGACAAAGAGACTATTGTTATAAATAACTGTTGTCTTTGTTATTCATTCTTTCATTTCTGGGGTTCCAGAGAGCATCCACAAACTAAAAGAAAAAGCGAAGAAACGGAAGGGCCGCGGCTTTGGCTCCGGTGAGTGTGTGTGGGAAAAATGGGGTCTAGAATGGCGAGAGCTACGAGTTTTGGAGTTCCCGTTCAGACTCATGGGAAGCAGTGGGAGAAGGAGAATTTCCGGTGATCTCGTGTATGTTCCTTATAGAAGAGGGGTCTCGAGCGCGGATGCGTGAGGATTATGACAGCGTGGAGCAAGATGGTGATGAACCCGGACCACAACGCTGTAAGTAACATGGAGCCTGTAGGGATCTGTGTTTGTAGAGAATCAGGGACCAATAAAATAAAACCCAATAGAAATGGGGTCAGAGATAGCTGCAGTCCGTGCACTCACTCTACTCCTGTGATCTTGTTTGAAGTTTTTCTCTCATGTTCTCAAACAGTCTCCGTCCCTTCCCCAACAGCTGTTGAAGGCTGGATTCTCTTTGTCACTGGAGTCCATGAGGAAGCCACTGAAGAAGACATCCATGACAAATTTGCAGAGTATGGCGAAATAAAAAACATCCACCTCAACTTGGACAGGCGTACAGGATACCTGAAGGTATCCTAAGTAACACTCCATTGCCTTTCTTCCTCCATAACCCTTAGACATCATTGGTAGTTCTTGTTTGCTGTGGTTGACCAATAGCAAAGTTGAAATAAAATGACATTGGAAATTGATTTTGTTAGACACAGCAAAGAGACAGACAGAAACAGACACGGTGTGTATACAGTAGGGATATATGATGTACATTCATTGTTTAAAGTTTATAGATTTTTCTATTTGAGTATGAATTTAGTTTTGAAGAAAAATTTAGTATTTGAAGATACTCAGGGATGTTTGGTGGAATAGGAGGGTTCTGATATCTGTCTTTTCCCTTGCCCCAGGGATATACTCTAGTTGAGTATGAAACATACAAGGAGGCCCAGGCTGCTATGGAGGGACTCAATGGCCAGGATTTGATGGGACAGCCAATCAGCGTGGACTGGTGTTTTGTTCGGGGTCCACCCAAGGGCAAGAGGAGGTAAAGTGGAGCGGGCAAACACTATCTTACTAAAGGGAATATGAAGGAAACCGATTAAGGACTTTGTATTATGTCTCTCTGATGGACCTCCCCCTTCCTTTTCCCTAGAGGTGGCCGAAGACGCAGCAGGAGTCCAGACCGGAGGCGTCGCTGACAAGATCTCTGTTGTCGAGGTGGTTTCTCCAGAGATTCCATTTGACCACGCAACCTTGGAGAAAGAGCTGGGGTGGAACTCACTATGTTTATATTTAATCTCTTACCCTACCTGCTTAGTGTTTGAGTTATGAATAAATGTCCCATTTTTGTTTTCTACATTTAAAGTTTTTTTTCTATTCTAACATTGGAAGCTCTGAAGCACTATTTAGAGTAAGGCAGTGTGGGTTACTGTGAAGATACTTCTCCCAGGAACTGAATTCTGTGTGAGTTTCTACATTAGACATAGTTTCAAGTCTCAGCTAGGGTTAAAAGAAAGAGACTGCTTAGTATTTCTTTTTCTTGGAAGCTAATAAAGCAGGGCTAGAAGTGAGATGTTCTCATGATATTAAAGAATAATTATTCCATTCCTATATACTCTGTCCTGAGCAAATGGATATTACAGGAATGTCTCTTGTGTTTCTCCTGCTCTTCTTCCTGCCACATTTGTTTGTATTTCCAGCTGTCTAAGGGCTTGAGTCTCCTGTCGAGGCATTCTCCCAGACCCTCTTTCCCTGGAAGAGTCTTTACTAAGTTCTTGGTGCCCTCTTTGGCATCCAAGGGTGAAGGCCCCGTAGAGGAGAGGATCCAGAGGCGCTTTGAGGATGCCCAAGAGGAAAAGGATATGGCTGAGGCTGGGAGGGACTTCAGTTAGCATGGTGGGAGAGAACCAGTACCACAGACCCAGCAGGTAATAAGGTGTCCAGCAGAGGACGAAGGTCAGCAAGACAAGCAGGGCCCATAGATGAACACGGGGGCGACTGTCTAAGGAGCGGCGGAGGGCAAATTCACTGGCAGGGGCTGGGAATTTAGAAAATATACTCAAATTCAGAACCACTCAGCTTCTGAGTTTAGGGTGAACTGATAGGCAGAGATAGTGAGATGGAGCTCTCCCCCTACGAGGAAGAGAATGCTATAAACAGGAGGTAATGCTGCAAACCCTCTTCCCCTTCCGAACCTGTGACCATGTGCTCCCCTCCCCACCAGGGATTATGACAAACATGCTAGAGAAAAGGTTTTGATGGAACTGCTGTGTTATGTGAAGTTACTAAGTTTACTTTAAGATTTGATGGTGTCCAAAAGTAAAGGAGAATATAGATCACCTTTCTCCTTAATCCTTGCCCAGCTAACTCAGCTTTAGAGGCTGGTTAGAACTGCAGGCATTCGATAAAATTATGTGCAGCTTCAGGTGCTAGAAATATCGTTAGGATCTTACTTTTGGTTTATCACAGCTATATAATAGATGGCTATCAGATAAATAAATGAGGGTAGAGGCAATAGTTTCAGGGTATGGATTCGGGCCTGGAGACTGGAGTCTCACCATGGTTCCCTGTCCTTGTCCGGGGACTGGACACACTGAGGACAATGCGGCGATAGCAGATCGTCATAGCAGTCAGTGGCAGCAGAAAGAAGCAGCAGAAGGTGAAGAGGTTATAGGTGATCTCTTGCCATTGAGCCTTGAAGCTGCCTTTGGTGACACATTGAGTGAAGGGGACTGGGCCAGCTTGGCGGGCGGTATGGAACGGGAACAGCTGGAGTGGATTTAAGGACTATTAGAACTGGTCCCTCTTCCCCTCCCCTTCAGCCTACCCACGAGTGTGATACTGTCTCCTAATTCATCCTTAATTCTATGCAGAGCAATGCAGTGCTAAGCAATGGTTCATCCATGGTGCCATTTTTAAAAGGGTAGAAATGTATCTTGAAAATCCCTGTCCCCTTAGGCTATGGAGGTAACCGTTAAGTTTGTTAAATCCTGGGACTTAAAAAATCCTGCCTTTTCATATATTCTAACATTGCACTTTATAAAAAGGATATCTCTACCACCTCACCAACATTTTTAGCTGAAATGAATTTTCTGATGTGACTGGTTAATTCTGTGGAAAAAAGAAATCTTGTATAAAACAGGTGCTGCTAAAATTCCAGGCCATTTTGCAACTACTCTGTGAAGTAACTTGTACTAATAGTCTTATGTACAATAACTACAATGATGAAGTAATGTTAAATAATAAAACTTAACATTTTCAAAATGCTATTGGCTGCCCCTCCCCCTTTTTGGTAAATTGTTGGGTTTTTGGTTTGAATCAGTAGAGTATTTTTCAGTTTTGAGCTTCAGGGTTAGTACCTTGGTTCAGGTGAGGTAGATTATTAGTCTGAGAAAAGGCAAGTTCAGTAGGTATCGTTTCCTAGATAGAAGGCATTTGGGGAAGTCATTTTAGCAGGCATGAGGGACTTTTAGGAAAGGTGAATAGTGTCAGCCATGGACATACAATTTTATGACCTGCTTGGAGTTACGATCAGGCTACTCTGAGCTAGTTGGGAAGTAGTCTTTCCTCTTTCCCTATCTTGAGGCCATATATTTCTGGGGGTTTTTTTGTACTATGCCTAGAAGTACTTGAGACATTGTGAGAATGGGTTTAAAAATAGATAAGGCTCTTGGACTTAGAATTTGGTCCACAGCCCTGCTTCTGTCTCTCCTTTCCCCTATTTTATATGCAATTTACCATCTACTGTAGAAACCTTCCTCTCAACTACTTCTGATACTTGGAAACTTGAGCCTATAAAAAAAATTTCTAACAACCCCAATACTCCTTCACTACACTAACCCCACGCTTCAAAAAAAATTTTTTTATTGACACTAATATTTTAAATACAGTATATGGGCAATGCAGAATATACAAGAGGACGCTAATGTGGAACCAAAAATATCACCTTGGCACATACATCACCACTAGTTTGCCACTGAAGCAAATGGAGATAGCAATTACTGTCAGATTGTCAAGATGTATGAAATTCGTCTCCTATTCCGTTGTTTTCTGGCCCATGGATTTCAAGTGACTTACCCCAAGTCACAGCTAGTTAGTGGTAGAGCCTAGATTAAAAAAAAAAACAAAGCCAAGTAAAACAAGCAGACAATGCAACAAAAACAGGCTTCTAACTCCCAGTCCACATCTAAAATTTGCTTCATATGTATATGAACATATATGTATACATATATGATACTTTTGGTAGTTATATTTCTAATATTTGAGGATTTAAGGATCAAATCTTAAATCTGACTCTAGTGCATAATCATTCCAGAGACTGAAATCAGCCCTTCTGGCCCCTTCCAGACATAATCCTAATCCTAGTCTCAGATGCTCAAGCCCCTCCCACCCAGATGGTGGTAGTAGTTTTTGTTTTGAAGGAACTGCTTCATATTTAGCTTTTTTCTAGATTTCTAGCTCATTTGCAATATTGAGATTTGATTAACTGGCACTCAAGTTCAGATCCTTTTTTTTTTTCTGTTTTTGACACCCATTCCACAATAAACCCAGAGTAAAAAAATACAAATCTGATTATATCACTCATGACCTTTTACTCAAGTGTCTCTCTACTGCCCTCAGGATAAAGTACAAACTTAACATTTGTGATCTGGCCCATCCTTCCCCTCCAGGCTCGTTACTCATCATTTTCTAGTCCTTAACTTTAGCTGTAACCACTTTGAGATCCTCTACCATCTACCCTCCCCAGCATTCCTCCTGCTTAAACTTTTCTAATACCTATCTGTCAGGAATCATATTTTAACATCTCTAGGAAGCTGTTCCTGACGGTCCAAGAGTGGGTCAGTCACCCTCCATTGTTCTTGGGCTCCTTATGCTTACCTTTAGTGTAACACTTGACTGCACACTGTATTGTAACTGCATACTAATTTGTCTCCTGCACTAGTCTATAAATTTCTTGAAGGCAGGACTTTGTTGCTATATGCTTGATAGAGCATTTGGGTCTATCTGGGGATGATGCACATTATTTTTTGAATCGATGAAATGAATGTACCCAAATGGCTTTACCCAAAGCCCTTGACTTCACTGTCTTGTTAATAGACCTCCCTGCCCTAGAGTATTTCTGCAACAACCTCCTGAAGAAAGTGGGACTGGCAGGATGCAAACAGGTGGAAGCTAAGTGTAGTAAAACAAAGCTGAAGGAAGAGCATAGATACAGGGTACTGTTTTCAAGAGGTAGGCTCTAAACAGAGACAAATTAACATGCAATGATCTTAACTTGCAAACGAGATAGCACAGGCTCCCCCCTGAGGATTAACGGTTGACGCCGGCCAAGCACACCCCTTGACTCCGGAGGCTCATGCTGTGTACCCAAATTCTTGTCCTGTCTAGCCCTGAGTCCCGACAAGTCACTCACCTGGGGCAAGACAAGCAGGAAACTAAGTCCCCAGGCTGTCCCCAGAAGTTTCCTTCCAGCGGGGCGGGGTCCGAGCGGGTGGAGTACTGCTGCCTGGCGTTCTAGCCCAGTGACCACAGGCAGGAAAGCTGCGGCATACATGGCCATTAGTTTCAGGAACATGAGTGTCCGACATGCAATATCCCCGGCCAGCCATTGAACAGTGATATTCCAGGTGGCATCTAGGGGCATAATCACAAAAGTGACCAGTAAGTCGTCGGCTGCTAAATGGGCAAAGAGTCGCCACACTGGAGAGGGGCGGAGTTGGCCGGGTTGCGGCTGCGTCACTGACCACAGCACGGCCAAGTTCCCTCCAGCAGAAGAAAAAAAACAGCACAATGGTCACTCCTACTCGGACTTGGCTGCAGCTGAGAAGGTGGGCAGCTCTGAGCCCTCCACCTCTACTCCTGATCCAGCCCAGACCTCTTCCCCCGTAGCTGACCCCCCACGGGGTGCCGTAGGCTGCAGTCATGGTGGCCTAGAAGGACAAGGGTTGTGGGTATAAAGAGGTTAGCTTCGGCCACTGATTCTTCGCCCTCCTTTTTAGGATCTGGAGCTGGTTATTGCGAATTTCGTCCAGTAAAGCCTCGGTCTCTGAAGACTCTCCATCTTTATTCTGCAGATCACCTGTTCAACTGTCAGGGACCTGCAGATAACAGGGATCTGATGCTGGCTTCTACTTTCATAGACCTCTTTAGCCCCTGGAAGCCTGGATTCGGGCGGAACGTGCGTGCATGCATGCACGTGTGGTGGGAGTGTTCTGCTGGACACACCCGGGGGGAAACCCTATCCCAGCCGCCGCGGAGAGATCCCTGCGGCGCCTTCTCGCCCCGCCCGCACTCCTGCAGGCCCCGCCCTTAGGTCAGAATATTTAAAGAGGAATGTGCCGCTGGAGGCGTGCTTAAGAAAAAATAGACCATTTGATAAGACGACGCTCTGACAGAGACACGCACGAAAACACGCAGGTGTAGGATCAGAGACAAGCGCTTCTCGTTTTGAAATTCCACTTCAGGGGCCGGCTGCGCTCGCTTTCTTTTCTGATGATGTTTGTCCCTCGCGAGGCACCGTTGGGTCGTCCAGGAGGCGTGACGAGGGGCGGGCAGTGGGGCGGGAGTGGCCCTGCGGAGCCGCGGCTGCCGGTGTCATGGACGCCTGGGTCCGCTTCAGTGCTCAGAGCCAGGCGCGGGAGCGGCTGTGTAGGTGCGGCCCGAATAGGAATGGGGGGAGGGCAGGCAGAGGAAGGTCTTCGTGAGGCGAGGTCAGTTCACACTACGGGGGTCAAAAAGGGTCAACTTGGGCTACGGGGGCCCAGACGGACCGCCAGGAGCTGATTTGAGCAGGCCACGAGGAGATGATTCGTTTCTGCTCACGGGAAAGATGGGGAAACTGAGGCATTAGTGGGCCAGTGGGGAGACTGCTCAGGGTTGCCGTGTCCACATAAGACCAACAGTTTTCTCACTGGGCAGTGGTGGGATGAGGAGCGTTCGCCCCGCGGTAGATAGCGACCCAGACTCTGTCCCCAGAGCAAAGGAGGCTCTCCAAGTTTACGTGTCCCCTCACCCTGCTGTCACCCGGGAATTCCTTTGCCTCCGCTCTGTCTTCTGGTCTCGATTCAGCTCGAGGGGCCTTGAAATCTCTGAAGAATAATCTGCCTTCCAACTATTCTCCACTCCCTCACATATCACATACATGCTCACACTGAGGTGATTGTGATGGACCCCCTGCTGCCTTCACTGTCCTCTTCAGGCCTCATTGTCAAATCTCTTATGTTCTCAACTCTAATTAGTGCTCCTCACCCCCTTCTAGGCTTCTTTTTAATCTTATGCCTTTCCCTTCCCCTGGCCCCTCACCAAACTGTGAGATATGGGCATGAAGAGGAGGAAAGGGAATGGTCTCAATCTGGGAAAAGAGAAAGTCCATACTTGCCTTTTGGAGGATGTTTTTGACGGGGAGATTAGGGAGGTCTCCACCTCACCCTGCATGTCCTCTCCTCCAGGGCCGCGCAGTATGCTTGCTCCCTTCTTGGTCATGCACTGCAGAAACATGGAGCCAGTCCTGAGTTACAGAAACAGATTCGACAACTGGAGGGTCACCTGAGCCTAGGAAGAAAGCGTAAGTAACTGTGCCTTTCCTATTACCCCAAGACTTCTTCCATCCCCAGCTATTCTGCCTTAGTCCCTCCTTCCTGTTTTTGACCATCTCTGGCAGTTCTTCTCCCTCATTTGGTTCTGCAGTTATCCTCTGCATGCAGGGGTAACTTGAGATAGGAGAGCAGGGGTAAGAGAGTAATAAAGGATTGGAGAGACTCAGGCAAGTTTTGAGAAAACTAAACTGGGGTGCAAATTATTTAAAATTTGAAGTAAAAAAGAAAGAACTGTTTCTGCTCTTTTTAAAAATTGTTTGTTATTGTTTCTTTCACTTGGTCTACCTTCACACTCTTGCTGTCTCTCTTTCTCTGTGTCTTGCCCTCTGTTTGCCTCTCTCCTTCCAAATCCTTGCTTTTCCTTGCTAATCTCCACAAGTTCTACGCCTGGGTAACTCAGCAGATGCCCTTGAGTCAGCCAAACGAGCTGTGCACCTATCAGATGTTGTCCTGAGATTCTGCATCACTGTTAGTCACCTCAATCGAGCTTTGTACTTCGCCTGTGACAATGTCCTGTGGGCTGGAAAGTCTGGACTAGCTCCCCATGTGGATCAGGAGAAATGGGCCCAACGTTCATTCAGGTTTGATATCCTTTTATCCTACAAGACCTTTTGTATTCTCCATACTGCGTAGCTTGTTTTTTATGAGAGAAAGATCTTTCGAGGTCTTCCCAGAATATACACATCTTAATCAATCTTCCAATTTTGGTTTCCAATCTTCATTTAGATCTTAAACTATCAGAGAATAATGAACGAGGGCAGATGAAAGACAGATGCTCTTCCATGATAAATGACTAAGATTGGGCTAGATAAGATATTATATTCTTTTAATTCTGCTCTGTTTATGCCACAGGTTATGCCCCTCACTGCCTGCTCATTTATTCATTCTAAAAATATTTAGTAAGTGCTTACTGTGGGCCAGGGAATAAAGCAAAGAGCCAAACAGATATGGTTCCTGCTCTCATGAAGCTTCTAGTCTAGTGAGGGTGTCAAATTTTAAAACAAATAACTACCAAACCAGATATAATAAGGAAAGCTAATTTGGATTGAAAGGTCAGGGAAGAACTCTTTGAAAAAGTAATATTTTAGTTCAGACCTGAAGTCCAAGTAACAGTGGCAGAGAAGACCTTTCCAAATAGAAAATAGCACATTTTGAGACCTTGAACTAAGAAAGACTTTGAGGAATTAGAGAAATAAAAAGAAAGAAAGCCGGGGGGCCGGCCCCGTGGCGTAGCGGTTAAGTGCATGCACTCTGCTGCTGGCAGCCTGAGTTCAGATCCCAGGTGCCCAGCGAGGCACCACTTGTCAGGCCATGCTGTGGTGGTGTCCCATATAACGGGGAGGAAGATAGGCACAGATGTTAGCCCAGGGCCAGTCTTCCTCAGCAAAAAGAGGAAGGATTGGCATGGATGTTAGCTCAGGGCTGATCTTCCTCACAAAAAAAAAGAAAGCCAGTGTGATGGACAGTATTGAGTAAAGGGCATAAATTCAAACTGGAGATGTAGGTAGAGGCTAGATCATTCATGCAAAGCCTTTTAGGCAAAGGTAAGATTTTTTTGTTCAGTTTTGTTTAAATTGTCTCGTAAGTACAATGGGTTCTGAACAGGAATGTGACATGATTCAAATTGTGTTTAAAGAAGATCTCTCTTGCTGCAGTGTGGAAAATGGATTGCAGTAGGGCAAAAGAGGAGGAGATGCCCTAATATGGCCAAGAGATGATGTTGGCTTGGACTAAGGAGCTGGCTGGTAATGAAGGTGGAGAGAAATACAATTTGGGAATAAAATTATCTGTATAAATATCATTTGTATTTGTTTTTTATTTCTCTATGATTCTCTTCATTCTTTTACATTATATTAGCATCTTTCCATCTCCATTTATATCTTGCTTTTCTCTTCATCTTTCTCAGTGATCTACAGCTATAACACAGCTAATGATATATGAAGGGTGGGGGCAGAGGCATGGCTGGAGTGGTATGGAAAAGCAACCCTTAGAAGAGTTTATGTGCTATGTTTATTCATTTCATTCAATAAATATACCAAGCTCTTACTATGTGGCAAGCACTGGTCTAGACAAAGGGATACAGTGGTAAAGACAAACAAGGTCCTTGTTCCTATGGAGCTTACATTGTAATGGGAGGAGACAAAGAAACAATAAATAAGAAAAATATCAGATAGTGGTAAGTTCCATGCAGGAAATTAAAATAGGATCATGTGGTAGAAAGTAAATGGCTCGCTATATAGAGAGGGGAGTCAGAGAAGGCCTCTCTGAAGAGGTGACGTTTAAACTCAGACCCAAAGAACAAGAAAGAGCCAGCCATGTGAAGATTTTGGAGAGAATATTTCAAGTAGAGGGACTAGGTAGTTTAAAGGCCCTAAAGCAGGACAAGCTTGATGGGATCAAAATATAGAAGGAAACTAATGTGGTTGGAGCGTAGTGATTGAGGGAAAGGATGGTACATGATGGAGTTAGAGAGGCAGGGTCAGATGTTGACTTCTGTAAGCCTGTCTAAGGTATCTAGATTTTGTTCTAAATGTGATGGGAAGGAAACCATGGAGACTTTTAAGAAGAGGAATAATGATGTGATTTACGTTTATGCCAGCTACTATATGAAATTAGATTGCTGGGGTCAGAGTGGCAAGAGTGGCCCTGAAGAGACCAATTAAAAGACTAAAGGAGTAGTTCAAGTGAGAGATGATGGTGGCATAGACTGTAGTGGTGGAATGTAACAAAGAGGTGTGGTTGGATTCAAGATGTGTTTTAGAGGTAGGACAATTATATTGAGTACAGACTACTGTTGTCAGAGTGGATTAAAGATCAAGAACATAGAGTGTTCTTAAGGAATTTATAATCTAACACATTTGACAAGCTGCTTAACACCTCTGGGCCTCACTTTTTTTTTTTAACAAAAGAATTGTATTTAAATGATGTATAATGTGTCTGAGTCTCTGAAACAACTGAAGCTTGTTCTTTCAAAACAAATTTGCATTATTATAGTTGAAGTTGAATGTGTGTGTGTGCTAATGGGTTGCCAAGTGTAAAAGTGAAATTTGAGGTTGATCTTGGAAGATTTGATGATGCTCATGAATTTTAAGCCAGTATCGTAAGGTACACATAAACACATATTAGTTACAAAAAGGTGGGAGAACATTTCTAATAGTGGTTAATAGCATTCACATCTGGTGTTCTAATGTGTAATCCCTTTGCAGTATGGGGAAAAAAGTGTTTACGCGTTCTGTTGGATATGCTAAGTGGGTATACATGCCCTTAATGACCCTTCTGTCCTGTGTATCCCAGGTACTATCTGTTTTCCCTCATCATGAATTTGAGCCGTGATGCTTATGAGATTCGCCTACTGATGGAACAAGAGTCTTCAGCTTGTAGCCGGCGACTGAAGGGTTCTGGAGGAGGAGTCCCAGGAGGAATTGAGACTGGGGGATCTGGGGGTACAGGGACTCCGGGAGGAGGCCTGCCCCAACTGGCTCTGAAGCTTCGGCTCCGAGTCCTGCTCCTGGCTCGGGTCCTGCGAGGTCATCCCCCCCTTCTGCTGGATGTAGTCAGAAATGCCTGTGATCTCTTCATTCCACTGGACAAACTAGGCCTCTGGCGCTGTGGCCCTGGGATTGTGGGGCTTTGTGGCCTCGTGTCCTCCATCCTGTCTATTCTCACGCTAATCTACCCTTGGCTACGACTCAAGCCCTGATATTCTGGTACAGGATAAGGAGGGGATCTGAATTGGTAAGATGGAACATTAGATCGTCCCCAGTGTACCAGCTTCATTCTAACTCTACTCCTTGGTTAAGTTAAAAATCCAGAGATTCAGGAGTAGAGAGAGGGGCTTTGTGGAAGATGAGGTGAGAAAAAGTGACTTGTGAAGTCAATAGGACGATTCTGATGTTCAGCCCTATTGGAGCTTTTGTTCTTTTCCTCCTTCATTGCATTGTCTGTGTCTCTCTTGACTCTTTTTACTTTGTCTCTCTTTAGTCTATTTAAGATTCTGTCTCTGCATCTCTTTTTTACCTTCTCAGTCGCCTGTCCTAGGAATTTAATCAGCAGCAGAATTACTTTTTGGTAGAGGAGGTAGAAGGTGTGGTCCCTAAGGTTCTAACTGCCTTCTTTTTCTTTACAAAGGTGGCTTTGGCACATTTTACTGCCCTCAAACTCCAAATCATAATTTTAAAGACTTTAAGTCCTGGTGGACTCTTCCTTCATGCACCAGAGGTGGTTCGATGCTTCCTCTTCCTCCCTCCTGTCTACCTCACCAACCTCCCTCATGACTTCGCCCATACCCTTCTCTCTACTCACACCTGCAGATTTCTGCTACACTTTAATTTCAGGGCTTTGTTCTTTAGCCTGATCTTACCCCTTCTTTGCCTATCCAGGATGAAGCTGTGTCTAGCATCTTGCTGTAAATATTGTACAATGATTCTGTGTAAATAGCTGTGCCCCATGCCCACGATTGAGAGCAAGCGTTCCAGGTCAGCAAATTAAAGATCAGTTTGCTCATTAATGTTTAGTCTGGTACTGTGTATTGTAGTCATTTGAGGCCCCTATTTCTGTCACTGTGGTTTGGGTTTTCCATGGGATTAGCTGCTGGCATCATCACCCACAGACTTTTATTGAGCACCTACACTATGCAGGACATAATACTTGGTGGTGGAGCTACAAAAAGCTAAGAAGCTCTATGGTCCCAACTTCAGCTAAGTTTATAGCCTGGTTGAGAAGATGGGGTCTAATGTTGAAGTAATTATACTGGTTCCACAAAGCACACCGCATACCAGTTCATGGTTTATAGTCCCTCCAATACCACAAGGCAGCATGGGCTAAGAGTCACAAACAGGACTAAGTGGAGTGAGGCTGGTAAGGCTTGGTTTGTGGGCTGGCTGTGTCTTCACACGTTGGGACTCCGCTTGGTTGGTTGGGGAAGTGATATCACTGTTATCAGCTCTTTCATTTTCCATATCCCAGGTTGAGATAAATAAAGTTAGAAAGTAAAAAGTATCTATCTCCCATTCCTGCCTTCTATTCTGAATCTGAAGAAAGCATTATTGCCTGGCAACAGCAAAGGATAGGAAAAAAGGAAGAGAAAGAAACGGCAGAAATAGTCAAGAATTGTGTTCTCTTTGGATATTGAGGTGATGCCTCCAGGGGGCAGCACCAAGGCACAGAACTAGAGTAAGATTGCTCAGTCCTCCTTTTCTTGGTCTGGGGCTCCCCACAGTTCCCCACCATCACTCCTCCCATTCCTTCCAACTTTATTTTTAGCTGCCAGTGGGAGGGGGCAGGATGGGAGGGAAAGTAAAAAAAACAGAAAAGGAGAGGGACAGAGGCACAGAGGACTTCTCACATGGACAGAGGACTTCTCACACGGACAGAGAACAACCAGACATGGAGCTCCCCTTCATCCCTCCCCTGTTCTTGCCCCTGATGTTCCTGACAGGTGAGAGAGGTTAACTTCTTGGTTTCCGGTGGGAATGGAATATGTTTGTATTGTTTGGCATTGGGACCTTTAGGGTTAAAATTGTTCAGGAATTAGGGTGAGAGATTAATACTGATTCTACATTTCTAGTGTGTATGTGGTGGGGGCGAGGGGCGGGGGGAGTTGGGGGGCGTTGCATGATTGCATTCTTATGCCCAACATATGACTGCTTCAATATTGAGACTGGCAGGGCCTCGTGTAAGATGTGTGTTCATTTATCTAAAATCTTCATCCTAAGACCTGGAGGAGTGAGGGGACCAAAAAGAAACCTGATGTGACCTTCCATGTGGCTAGTCTAATTCCTATTATCCCCCTCCCTACTTCTCCCTAATCTTGGTGGTCTCTGGGGCCTGAGGCATAATTGACTAACTCTGTGGTCAGAACTCTGGGTTTATCTAAACCAATGAGCTACAATTCCTGGTCATACAGCCCTGCCAGTTTCCTGGATGCAGAAAGGCTCACATACAAAATACCTTTCTGAAAATGAGCATAGTTTGAGACAGAGCTATAGCCATTGGTGGCTGTGGCCTGAGAGGGGGTTGCTTGAAAGGAAGGAGCAAGGTACAGTCAGGGAAAGAACCATGGGAGGGACAAGAGGCCTGGAATTTTTCCTCATTGGTGCCCTGTAATCTTCGTTTCCTAAAATACCAGCTCTGATTTTAAAGGGACTGAGGTTGGGAGGGAAGAATCAGCTAGGACATGATTGAGGGGTCTTTAGGGTGGGATGAGAGTTAAGGAAGAAATGCAGGTAGGCAGGGGGCAGTTGGGAGGGTGGATGAATTAGAAAGGAACGGGATTGTGGGAAACTTTGAGGTAATGGGACCCTTGGTAAGGATGGATGGCAAACCATATGTGTGGGCAGGCGAGTGGCCCCACCCAGTTAATTACCACTGAGGTTTCCAGGGCTGGAATCAACCAGAGACCTAGACATTGGAGAAAGAGTGAGAGTGTAACAATGACACTGGGAGTCAAGAAGAGATAGAAAGAGAAGGAGACCCAGACATACAGTGCTCCCTAGACTCCTTGTTCTCCCTATGGTCCTGAGTTGGGGGAGAATTTGGAAGAAGTAGTTGTTCTGGGGCTGCAGAAAGACCTTCTCCCTCTTTTGACTCTCACAGCTTGGGGAGGAGGATGTGTAGGAGGAATAATGTGGAAAAGAGGAACTTGACCCTTCCAGACATGTCTGTAAATGAGATTTCAGAAATGGGAATGAAAATACAGCTGTGCACCAGCATGGCAGAGGGACACAGTTAGACATCCGGACCCAAACACAGGAAGGAGATCATCCTTGCTTGGAGCTCTGAGTACATGACGTTGACAGAGGCCAGGACAGCTTATGAGTAAGAAGTAGGGAGATAGACCGAAATCAAAATGTTCCCTTCGTGGCTTCTCTTTGGTTGTGCTTTTCCAGGCATTCATTAGTCTCTCTGACTGCTTCCTGCTAACCTTATGATCCTGGCCCCCCAGGTCTCTGCTCCCCCTTTAACCTGGACGTACATCGCCCACGCCTATTCCCAGGGCCACCCGAGGCTGAATTTGGATACAGTGTCTTACAACATGTTGGGGGTGGACGACGATGGTGAGGAGGAAACCAGAGGGCCATGGGGTTGGGACTGTGATAGAGCTATTAAAGGGGAGGCAGGGTAGATGGGAATCTAATCTGGTCTTTTGAAAGTGGCTAGGGCTCTAGACTCTCCACCCCCGTGTGCTTCCCCTCTGGCCTATCTCAAAGGTCATACTCACACTACACTTATATTCATGTCCTCCTCCCAGGATGCTGGTGGGTGCCCCCTGGGATGGGCCTTCAGGCGACCGAAGAGGGGATGTTTATCGCTGCCCTATAGGGGGCTCCCACAATGCCCCATGTGCCAAGGGCCACTTGGGTAAGAAGATGCTTCACTCTTCCACTCCTAACCCTTAACCTTGATGTGCTAGTAGCTGTGACCACTTACACCTCACCTTCTTTGCTCCCATATCTCACATACTCCGCACCCCTGACTTGATCCTGATCTCTTCTCATCCTCTTCCAAAATCACCCTGAACTTAAGCACCCCGTCATCTGTGACCCCATGATCTCATTCTTTCCCACCCCCTCATCCCCCAACCAGGTGACTATCCACTGGGAAATTCATCTCGTCCTGCTGTGAATATGCACCTGGGGATGTCTCTACTAGAGACAAATGGTGATGGGGGATTCATGGTGAGCTAAGGAACGGGTGGTGGGTGATGGTGGGGGGAGTCTCTGAAAGTTCGTGGCAGAGAAAAGAGCAATATGGTAAAGGGTAACTGGTATATGTGGAGGGGTCAAGGAGTTAAAACCCTAGAAAGAAAGGAGAGGAATCTCAGGGAGTGGTCTCAATGCCTCCGTTGACTAGAAGCATGTTCTGAGGGTGCCCTCTCAAGCCTGGGAATAACTATTTCCCCCACCCATTCTCAGGCTTGTGCCCCTCTCTGGTCTCGTGCTTGCGGCTCCTCTGTCTTCAGTTCTGGGATATGTGCCCATGTAGATGCTTCATTCCGGCCCCAGGGAAGCCTGGCACCCACCGCACAACGTGAGCCGGAAGAAGGGACTGAGGACTCAGTCCTCAGAATGGGGTGCAGGGTGGGAAAAAGATGGGGCAAGAGGGTATGATGCTTGATAGGGGGCCTGCATGACTATCCTCATTGCTACCTAATATACCTGCAAAACCTCCAGATTTCCTAACAGATTAGAATTCAGACTCTACCAGGGCATCAAGACTCCATGAATTGATCTAACCAACTTCAAAAACTCAATTCTCATTATATCATTCCATACCCTGCACCTTGCCCATAGCATTCACCTTAACATTCTCCTATGTATCATCTATTTTTATACCTCCATCTCCTTTTGTTTAAAGTGTTCTCCACCCAAATGCCTTTCCTTATATTCTCCTCTCCTTAAACATCTTCAGTCTTCAATATCTTCTCAGTTCCTGCCTCCTTTGATTGCCTACCATCAGAACTGACCCTCTTTTGTTCTCCCATAGCATAGAGTGGTACTGTGTTTCTGCCTAGTGCTTAATTCCTTTTTCTTTGTTTTTTTTTTTTTTTGGTAAATTGTATGTATGCTCATCGCCTCTTTTATTTGTTTCTACATTTACCCAGGGCCTGGCACACTACCTTCCTTGCATGTCAGAAGTGCCTAATAAATGTTTGAATTGAATGTGCCCTCCTGTGACCTCTTCCCTTGTTGCCCCCATGCCCAATATCCTTCTGCTCCTCTGTTTCCCGTCACCATACCCTCCTCTTAGGCTGCCCGACATACATGGATGTTGTCATCGTCTTGGATGGCTCCAACAGCATCTATCCCTGGTCTGAAGTTCGGACTTTCCTACGAAGACTGGTAGGGAGACTGTTTATTGACCCAGAGCAAATACAGGTAAGAGAAGGCAATATGGGTGGGCTTGGAGGGGAAGAGACAGGAAGAGAGGAGATAAATGTTAGGTAGTGGTGTCTTCAGTGGTATCTGGGTGCTCCTTTCCTGTCCCTCACATACTTTCTTCTCCCCCTACAACCATACACACCTTCCATTTGAATGTACACTTTATTCTCAGGTGGGTCTGGTACAGTATGGGGAGAGTCCTGTACATGAGTGGTCCCTGGGAGATTACCGAACCAAGGAAGAAGTGATGAGAGCAGCAAGGAACCTGAGTCGGCGGGAGGGACGAGAAACAAAGACTGCCCAAGCAATAATGGTGGCCTGGTGAGGCATTGGGAGGGGAGTGTGGGAGGCCAGAGTGAGGAGGGCCTAGAAAGGTTAGGGGAGGGTTTGGAGGGCAGTGTGTACATCCCAAGATTCTTGCGTGCTTATCTCTGTGTCCACACTAATGGTGGGTGGGGGAATGCTAAGTTGGCTGTCATTGCACTCCCTCTCAACGCATTTCCTCAAAGAGTCTATGTCTGTGTCTCTCCATGTTTCTGCTTTATTTATCTCTGCAGACAGAACTCTCTATCCCTCCGTTCCCACTTTGATCTTGGCCTTCAGGTCACTCCACCACTCATATCCTAGCCCACTTTCCAAACGTGATTCAAAACTTATCTCTTGAAAGACTCCCCTGACCTGATCATTCTCCTTTATTCTACATTCCCTTAATACTTATCCTCCCAAATGTAATATTTGCTGAATAAATCTATGAATGAGTGGATTTTATACTTATTTGCACTGATGATATGCTACTCTATATGTTCTATGACACTCTTACTGTGTGCCAGTGTCCATGCTAGACACTGTTGGGGAGATAGACTAAAAAGGCAAGATGTCTGACCTCGGTGAAGTGCTGACAGTGTTGAGTCCTGTGTGTGTGTGTGTGTGTGTGTGTGTGCACGTGTATCTGCATACATCTGATCACATCTCACTCCTTTCTCTCTTTTCTCAGCACAGAAGGATTCAGTCAGTCCCGTGGGGGCCGACCAGAGGCTGCCAGGCTACTGGTGGTTGTCACTGATGGAGAATCACACGATGGAGAGGAGCTTCCCACAGCACTAAAGGCCTGTGATGCTGGAAGAGTGACACGCTATGGGATTGCGGTGAGAATCTACCCTGGACCTGGAAGGATGGAGGTGGGTGGGGACCGTGACATTGAGGACTGGGAACCTGAGGAAAATGAGCATTAACTGCTTCCCAGATGTCAGCCATATTTCCTTTCCTTCACTTTAGTTGGCTGTGTTCTATACCAGCTGTAACATTTCCCTCCACACAGCTAACAGACCCTACCTTGATCTCCTGATACCAGGTCCTTGGTCACTACCTCCGGCGGCAGCGAGACCCCAGCTCTTTCCTGCGGGAAATCAGAGCTATTGCCAGTGATCCAGACGAGAGATTCTTCTTCAATGTCACAGATGAAGCTGCATTGACTGACATTGTGGATGCACTAGGAGACCGGATTTTTGGCCTTGAGGGTAATGATTACCTTGGAGAAACTGGAGGGTAGGAGGAGTTCTGGAGTGTAGGTGGGGTTCTGGAGTGAGTTCAATAGGTCAAAGGGGGAACTGTCTTCCCTAATATTGCCTTGATATTTTCTCATGCTCAAGGGTCCCATGGAGAAAACGAAAGCTCCTTTGGGCTGGAAATGTCTCAGATTGGTTTCTCCACTCATCGACTAAAGGTTGGACAGACTCTGACCCTTCCATGACCCCTTTCAACCTCTGACTCCTTCCAACCTCTGACTCAGACAACTTCAACCCCAGGGCTCTTCTAGATTCCTCCTTTAACCAATGTCCATGCTGACCTTCCCATGCCTTTCCAACTCCCAGCATAAAAAAATATATATGCTTTTTACCCCAGCATATTCTCAGGGACCCTCTCACTCCTGGAGATTTTTTTCTCCTTATTCCCCACTGTCTTTTCAGTGAGCCCATCTGGTTCTGCCCTACAGGATGGGATTCTCTTTGGGATGGTGGGGGCCTATGACTGGGGGGGCTCAGTGTTATGGCTTGAAGAAGGTCACCGCCTTTTTCCCCCACGGACGGCCCTGGAAGATGAGTTCCCCCCTGCATTGCAGAACCATGCAGCCTACCTGGGTGAGTAGCAGAGAGTTGCAGAGGATTAGGGGATGGGGGTGGGGGAAATGCTTCCCCAGTCGGGGGGATAATGTACTCCCTCTTAACTCATGTAGTTTCTCACTGATCTCCTGCTACTTTCCTTGGAACCTCCTTCTGTGCCTTTAAGGAACCCTCCCACTCTGACCCCATCTTCCTTCCCTTTCACCTCTGATTCCTTGCCCACTTCTAGGTTACTCTGTTTCCTCCATGCTTTTGCGAGGTGGACGCCGCCTCTTTCTCTCAGGGGCTCCTCGGTTTAGACATCGAGGAAAGGTCATCGCCTTCCAGCTTAAGAAAGATGGGGCTGTGAGGGTCGCCCAGAGCCTCCAGGGGGAGCAGGTAGGGCATCCAATGGAGGGTGGGGTTCTTGGATCCTGAGGGACCTCCAGGCTGTCAGGGAAGAGAGTGAAGGGGCAAGAGAGTGAAGGGGCCTGAAAAGTCTGTACTGAATTCTGGTTGGCAGACTGTCAAAGGTGTGAGGTCCAGATTGGCAGGCTGATGGGTGCTTCCCATTTGTCCACAATCACCTTCCTTTTTCTCTGGGGTCACCACTCCCTACCACTTCCCAGATTGGCTCATACTTTGGCAGTGAGCTCTGCCCATTGGATATGGATGGGGATGGAACAACAGATGTCTTACTTGTGGCTGCCCCCATGTTCCTGGGACCCCAGAACAAGGAGACAGGACGTGTTTATGTGTATCTCGTGGGCCAGGTGAGTCTTGCTGGGATCCCCTAGAACTTGTTTGTTGAGGGTGGAGGGTGGGAGGGAAGGTACATACAACTGAGGGCTGGCTGAGTGGTGGGACTGTCAGATCAGCATCTTCTGTCTTCTCACCTCCACCAGCAGTCATTGCTGACATTCCAGGGAACACTTCAGCCAGAACCCCCCCAAGATGCTCGATTTGGCTTTGCCATGGGTGCCCTTCCTGATCTGAACCAAGATGGTTTTGCTGATGTGGCTGTGGGGGCACCCCTGGAGGATGGGCACCATGGAGCACTGTACTTATATCATGGAACCCAGAGTGGAGTCCGGCCCCATCCTGCCCAGGTCAGGAGTGGCCAGATAAAGCAGGGGCTTGGTGGGAAGAAAGGAAAGGGAGATATGCTCTTTGCTTATCAATTGTCCCCTGGTCTTGAGACCCAAACTGAACAAGTGCTTTTTTATCAGTAGGCGAAAAGGTGAGGTGGTGGGGTAGGATAAAGGTTGCTGTTCAGGGACTTCTGAATGCAAGCAAGTTTCTCTTATTCCTTCCTATGCCTGAAGGGAGTATTAGAAAGAGCCAGGGGGCCGGCCCCGTGGCTTAGCGGTTAGGTGCGCGCGCTCTGCTGCTGGCGGCCCGGGTTCGGATCCCGGGCGAGCGCCGACGCGCCGCTTCTCCAGCCATGCTGAGGCCGCGTCCCACATACAGCAACTAGAAGGATGTGCAACTATGACATACAACTATCTACTGGGTCTTTGGGGGAAATAAATAAATAAAAATTATAAAAAAAAAAAAAAAAGAAAGAAAGAGCCAGGTAGGAGGCCTGGGAAACCAGGTGTGTGTGTCCCTGCTAAGCCTTTCCTCTCTTCCTCTCAGCGGATTGCTGCTATCTCCATGCCACTGGCCCTCAGCTACTTTGGCCGAAGTGTGGATGGCCGGCTAGATCTGGATGGAGATGACCTGGTAGATGTGGCTGTGGGTGCCCAAGGGGCAGCCATCCTGCTCAGGTGAGCAGTCCCAGCTCAGGTAGCAATGGACAGCACAGCATAGCTGTTAAAAACAAGGGCTTTAGAGTCACAGACTTAGATTTGGATTTCTTGATCAACTTACTTTGTGCTTCCGTTTCCTAATTTATAAAATGGGAATAATAGTAGTAGCTACCTTACTGGCTTGTTGTGAGGATTAAATGCAATAATCCATGTAAAGATCTTAACACAGTGCCTAGCACATGGCAAGTGCTTATTAAATGTTAGCTGTTATCTTACTTCTGTCAGAAATTTCAGGGGAGGGTGACACAAGGGCATCTATCTCCTTGTTCTTTCCGTTGACCTCAGGGAGGCAGACACTGGAAATTGCCTTTCTCAAAGGGCTTTCCTCCTACTGCTAGAATTTCTTCCCCACCCTGTTCCTAGCTCCCGGCCCATTGTCCACCTGGCCTCTTCACTGGATGTGACTCCACCAGCCATCAGTGTGGTTCAGAGGGACTGCAGGCGTCGAAGCCAGGAGGCAGCCTGCCTATCTGCAGCCCTGTGCTTTCAAGTGACCTCCCGCACTCCTGGCCGCTGGGATCGCCGATTTTGTGAGTGACTAGAATGCATCCTAAGCAACTCTCAACTCCTTGCCTGCCTTGGTCTCTGGACCCCCTCCACCCTCCCTCTTGCCTGCCCCATTCAGACATGCGGTTCACAGCATCACTGGATGAATGGACAGCTGGGGCACGTGCAGCATTTGATGGCTCTGGCCAGAGGCTGTCTTCTCGGAGGCTCCGGCTCAGTGTGGGGAATATCACTTGTGAGCAGCTGCACTTCCATGTGCTGGTGAGAAGGGGACAGGAACTGCTTTGCATCTGGGCTGGGGAGTGAGGGGAAGGCTGGATCAGAGAAGGAATTTCTGCTGGATGGGCAAGAAAGCTGAAGACAGGAAAATGAGAAAGTTCAGACTTTGGAGTCTGGCTGATCTGGATTTGAATCCCAGCTCTGCCATTTACCACCTGTGAACTCTGGCAAGTCACATATAACCTGCAAGCCTCAGTTTCCTTGCCTGCAAAGGGGGGATAATAATAATAATGATAATAATAATAATAATAGTAATAATAACTACATCATTGGAGTTGTATTAGAATTAAATGTAATTAGTATTGATAAAACCTTAGGACAGTGTGCAGCACACAGAAAGTGCCCAGTAAATGATCACTGTAATTATTACATTCTGCCAGGGGCCTGGCTTATACCCTTAACCCTAGGTCCTCGTGATCCTTGATTCTGGTTTCCCTCAGGATACATCAGATTACCTCCGGCCAGTGGCTTTGACTGTGACCTTTACTTTGGACAACACCACAAAGCCAGGGCCTGTGCTGGATGAGGCCTCACTCACCTCCATACGAAAGTTGGTCAGCAGTGCCAAACCGTGCCCTGCCCCTGGGTCCCAACACCGCCCTTCTCAGTGAATTCAAGAGGAAGGGGAGGGAGGAGACATGAGATCATGGTGAAATCTGACCTGGGCACCCACTCTTCCCTTTTCAGTTTTCCCCCAATTCCATTCCTTTCTCCTTGCATTCTTCTTACCCTCAGCCCCTTCTCTCTCCTCTAGGTGCCTTTCTCGAAGGATTGTGGCCCTGATAATGAATGTATAACAGACCTGGTGCTTCGAGTTAATATGGACATCAGAGGCTCCAGGTGGGATGGACGTGAACTGGCCAAATCAGGGTGACCTGATAGAGACCGGAAGGGACTTGGTGGGTTGTCTCTTGCTCAGGAAAACAGAAGTGAGGCTTTTGGCACCCCTTCAACTCCTGGGCTCTCCCTTATCCACCACTCCTAGGAAGGACCCGTTTGTGGTTCGAGATGGTCGGCGGAAAGTGCTGGTGTCAGCAGCTCTGGAGAATAGGAAGGAAAATGCCTACAACACTAGCCTGAGTCTCAGCTTCTCTAGAAACCTCCACCTGGCCAGTTTCACTCCTCAGGTGCCCTTGGGGAAGGGAGTTTGGGAGGAGTCAGGGAAGGAGGAGGAAGAAGATGGGGTATTGGCCTCAGCTATGAGGGGTTCTAGAGAAAGATTCAGTGTTTAGAGGCTGTGGGCGGGAGAGCAGTTGCAGCCCCAGCTCCAGCCTCCACCCCCATTCCTCTGCTCCCAGAGGGACAGCCCAGTGAAGGTGGAATGCACAGCTCCTTCCCCTCATGCCCGGCTCTGCAGTGTGGGGCATCCTGTCTTTCAGACTGGAGCCAAGGTGAGTTGGGGCCCAGGATGAGACAGGGGCTCTGAGAGAGCAGGGGCTGGAATCTGTGGGGCCTAGGAGTTTAGGGAAGAAGGCACACAAGGGCTCCTGTTCCTCTGTAGTTGCCCCATGAAGAGGAATCTTCCATGACCCCATGTCTCCTGCCCTCAGGTGACTTTTCAGCTAGAGTTTGAGTTTAGCTGCTCCTCCCTCCTAAACCAGGTCCTTGTGAGGCTGACTGCTACTAGGTGAGAACAAAGGGAACTTCTTCCCAGCCCTCTCCTTTTGGGTCTTGGTGGGAAGGGGGTTGGGGGTAGGGTGTATACAGCATTGACTCCTCTACTCCAGAGAGGGGTGATTGAGACAGAGCTGGGATGTGAGCCTCTCCCTCTGACCCTACAGCAATAGCCTGGAGAGAAATGGGACACTTCAAGATAACACAGCCCAGACTTCAGCCTACATCCAATATGAGCCTCACCTCCTATTCTCTAGGTATGGCTCAGCTCCCCACTGGGACCCTGTTCTGACCGCAGACTCATACTCTTTATGTTTCCTTCCTTTCCCTCCATGTGCTTCAGTGTTCCCCAAGACCCAAACCCTTGGGGCTGCTCCATCTTTTGGCCCTCAGTCCCACTCATGCTGAACATTCTCTTTTAAATATCTTACTTTCCTAGATACAGGTATACCTATACATCCTAGGTGTAGGGATTTGCTGGGCTCCGGGGGTTGGAGCTGGGGTGAGGGGATATGGGATGTGGCCATAAAGTTTGTACCAAGTCTATGTCATGTCCCATTTCTATCTGTGTGCTGGCCCTGCCTTGCCTGAATCCATTTCTCTGTGCTGATCGTGTGCCTCTGGATCTGTGTCATGGCTGTGACCATGTACTTCCTGACTTGGTGTTCACGCAGTGAGTCTACTCTACACCGCTATGAGGTTCACCCATATGGGACCCTGTCAGTGGGTCCTGGCCCTGAATTCAAAACTACTCTTAGGGTGAGAAGCCAGATGGGCCTTGGCATGAACAGAGGGATGGGGAGGAGTCCTGGAAAAAGGATGGGAAGAGTCTCTCTTAGATTTCAATGGTATCTAGGGTAAAGGGGAATAGATGAGGAAGAGTCTTCTTTTATCTCCCACCTCTTCCCGTTTCAATCCTCCTCTTAGGTTCAGAACCTGGGCTGCTATGTGATCAGTGGCCTCATCATCTCAGCCCTCCTACCAGCTGTGGCCCATGGGGGCAATTACTTCCTTTCACTGTCTCAAGTCATCAGTAACAATGTGAGTCTGTGCTAGGGGTGTGTGGAACCCTGCCACCTTGATCTGGTGGACTCACCCAGCTCCCTGTCTGCTGGATCACTGCTCTCAGGGCTCTTTCCCCTGGGAGACCTTTCTTTCATATATGTGGCTTCTTTGAGAAGAAAGAAGGGGATTACCCAGGGAAGAACTACAATAGTGTGGATAGTATGCTCCTGCTCAGCCTAGAGTGGCTGGCCTCTTACCATCAAGAAGGTCCCTCAAGTTGAATCTTCCTCTAGGCAAGTTGCACAGTGCAGAACCTGACTGAGCCCCCAGGGTCCCCTTTGCATCCAAAGGAGCTTCAGCACACAAGCCGACTGGTATGAGTCACAAGAAAGTGAAGAAGGTGTCCAGAGTGGGAATGCAGGGGTGGGGGCAGTAGAGTTTGGAGCCTTGGGATAGGGAGTAGAGCCTGGAGTGGGGAGGAGGGGATCTTCCCACTTCAGGGTTCTGATCTGTCTCTTTCTTTTGGTAGAATGGGAGCAACACTCAGTGTCAGGTTGTGAGGTGCCACCTTGGGCGGCTGGCAAAGGGCACTGAGGTCTCTGTTGGACTACTGAGGCTGGTTCACAATGAATTTTTCCGGAGGGTAAACCGTTTCTTTTCTACTACTCTCCCCTTCTGCTCCTATCTGGAACTTTAGCATAGGCTTTGGAGGTAGACAGACCCATCTTCAAATTCCAGCTTTACCTCCTACTAGCTGTTGGACCTTGAGCAAGTTATTTTATCTCTTTAAGCTTCTTTCTCTTCATCTCTAAAACAAGGAAGATAATACCTACTTTATGGGGTTGTTGTAAAGAAAAAATGAATAATGAGGCAGATTCATTAAAAACTAGTTATTATCCTTGTATTTTCCTCCATTTATCATCCCTTAGTGCTTTATCAATAATCAATCGACATTTATCGGATACCTAAATTCAATCAATCAATAATCCATCAACTGCCTACTATATAAAAGGCTCTGTATTAGGTAGACACTGATGAGAATATCTCCAACATTTAGCACCATGCCTAACTCATTGTAGTGACTTAATACATTTTTGTTAAATGAATGAATAAATAGTTGATATTACTTGCAGGGTATGTATTGGAGGGTAGTGGGAAGTAAGATTATATAGTTGACAGGGATCTAGATTATGAAAGTTCTCTAAAGCTAGGGAGATGAAATTGGACTTAATACGATAGGCAGTCAGGAGTCAGTGTGAGTTCCTGAGCAGGGAAATGACATCCTAATTATAACAGCTATTTAGTACTAGAGGTTTATATTGTGCTTTCCCATATACTATCTACTTTGAATGATACAGATCCCTGGGATGTAGGCATATGTGTTAGGGAAGTTAAGTCTGACCAACCATTCCTCTGTAAGTCTGGTTCTCTTTGTCTCTCTTTGGTATCCTCTTTTTCATTTATTTATTCTTTCAACAAAGATTTATTGAGAAACCACTATGTACTTAGCACTATGCTAGGCACCAGGCACTAGGGACACATAAATTAGTAAGACACAACCCTTGACCTCAAGGATCTTATAGTTCAGTGGTGAAAGACAGAGAAGTAAACAGAACATTATAACTTGATCCAGGGTGGTAGGGGTTAAGAGGACACACTTCCCTAATTCTCAGAGGGGATGACATCTAAACTTCAACCTAAAGGAGGGGTAGGGGTTAGCCAAAGAAAGCGGAGTTGAGTGCATTTCAGGTAAAGCAAACAGCATATATGAAAGACCAGAGGCTTTCCATCTATTTCCTCTCTTTCCCTGTTAGTCTCAAAACTTTTCTTCTGGTCTTGAGGGTCCTGCAAGTTGTGCCTCTCAGCTTCATCCTTGCTATTGGGGTTCCAAGAGCTATACCACCTTAAGATGGCTCACTTTAAATGTCTTCCCATCCACTTGTCCACAGGCCAAGTTCAAGTCTTTGACAGTGGTCAGCACCTTTGAGCTGGGAACTGAGGAGGGCAGTGTCCTACAGCTGACTGAGGCCTCCCGTTGGAGTGAGGTGGGGCTGGAGACTGAGTTTGAGAGCTGTGAAACTAATGAGGGTGGGGATGGGGTAAGGGTACCTCTGAGCTTTTTCAGAACAGAGGTATCTTCATTAGGCAGCAGTCGGTGACTTAGAAGTGATAAATCAGGATGCTGGGGTCCCACTGCCTCCATTCCTACCTCAGTTTCTTTCCTTTTATTCTTTTATTTTGAGGCTGGCTTTGCTATAATGTGGGGAGAGGCTAGCTGGGCAAAAGGGTGCCAGTAAAAAATAACTCTCCTCCCCATACAGAGCCTCCTGGAGGTGATCCAGACCCGCCCTGTCCTCATATCCCTGTGGATCCTCATTGGCAGTGTCTTGGGAGGGCTGCTCCTGCTTGCTCTCCTTGTCTTCTGCCTTTGGAAGGTAAGCACTACTTTAGTGGGGAATATGGGGCATGGTGCCCACAAGTTGAGGGATCCTTGATGATAGCAGAGAGAACTGGATTTGTGCTGGGCAGCTAAGCAGGCTGTGGGTGTCATGCCTGAATCTCCTTCACTGTACTCCACAAATGTTGGTTGAATTAAACTTAGCCAAGTAAAATAAATTTGAATCTCATTTTTGGAAACAGAACAAAAGTGAAGACTTCAGCTATGTCTGAGGGCTGTTGGCAAGGTCCCCAGGCAGGGCATTTGGCAATGACTCTTATCTCCTCCTCTACAGCTTGGCTTTTTTGCCCGTAAGAAAATCCCCGAGGAAGAAAAAAGAGAAGAGAAATTGGAGCAATGAATGTAGAATAAAGCCCTAGAAAGTCCTCCTTGGCAGCTTCTCCAAAAGACTTGCATAAGAGCAGAGGTTTAGGGGCTCAGATGGGACAAGAAGAAGCCTCTGGACTGTCTCCCCAGACCTGCAGCCTGACTTGACTTTTGAGTCATGAGGATGCTGCTGGCAAGAGATGAGGCCTTCCCTCATACAAGATGGCCTGGCACCAAAGCCAGGAACACTCCCACCCTGTGTTTCCCTCATAATCCTGGTTCCACAGTCAACATTGGGGCCTGGTTTGGGGCCCTTTTTTCCCTGTCCCCAGGAATCAAGAATTTTTTGCCTAGGTCCCTGACTTCTTTCAGATTCCCTCTACATCCTCCCTCACAATTTGGAAAGGATGAGGGTTATCATCCTCCATTCCCTGCCTCTCACCTTCCTGCCTGTGCCCTACTCCACAGGAGAGAGCTGACGTTGGCTTGAAAGAAGTAAAGTCAACATCTGCTGCTTTCCTGTGGAGTCTGGTGATTCAGAGAGCCAGATGGGGAGAGTCAACAGGAAAAAAGGAGGGAGGAGGAAAAGCCACAAGAGACATTCTGTACAATTCCAAGGAACAGAGAAGCCTTTAGACAGGCAACTGCCGTCCTCCTGAAACCCGAGACTTCATGGTGTACTTGCCCGCCCTCAGGTGCTGGTGAAACAGAGCTGCCCCAGGCCTGCTGGGCATGGGTTTCCCAACTCGCAGCCTTCCCTGGGAGCAAAGCCAGGGCCAGGTGCCTGATTCTCTGGAACCAGGGGCCCCCGGCTGGCTAGAGCCGGAATAGCAGAGAAGACTGGATAATCCTGGCAGTGTTTCTCCTCTCTCAGGCCTCATGCACTCTTGAGCCCTCATTGGGGCCTCCTTATAGAAAGTAGAGAGAAGGCAGAGGATTGCTGCTTGATGGTGGGAAACTCTTTCACCTTATCAGCTTTGGGAAGCAGCAGCCCCATGGGGTCTGAATGAGTGGGGTCTGCCTTAAGGAAGAAGCTGAAGTGGGTGGCAGGGGGTCTTGGGAGCAAGCCCTGACTTGCTCAGCACTGGTTGCGTAGTACAAATAGCTCCTAGGAAAATGTTTCTGGGGGCAACTCCATTCATACCTTGTAGGACTTCTCTGGGGGAATCAGTTTGCCAGCCCTTGCCTGATGTTTACTGGAAATTCCCAAGTTAATTTCTATCTCTGGATCACCCTCCCCCTCCGCCACCACCCACCTCTTATGGTCATGGCCAGTAAAGAGAATTGGATTCTCATTGACAACTGGGTAACTTGTATTTCTTTGCAATCAATACTTTGGGTACCAAAGTCAATTATTGGTCTCCAGAGTGCAGCTCTCACAGCCGTTTGAAGAATCAGCACCCATTTAGAGCTGAGAAGAGAAGAGACCTGATCGGGCAGTTGACTAGCAGCCACAGAACCTGTCCTCCAGGGCTGTTCTTGAGGCCTGGCCACAATGTTTATTTTGGCATGTCTCTGGCCTTTTGCAGAGGGCATTGTCTCTGTTTCCCCGGTAGGGTGGACAGTATATCAGATGGTCAGAACAAATGAAGTTCAGTGTCACATGACTTCTGGCTCTATTTGAGTTCCCTAAGATATGGACTGCTCAGGAATGGTGAGAGGTAGATTCTTGGTTCACCTGAGACCTTATACAGTTGAGTCCCTGGAAGGCCAAGTTATGAAGTATTTGAAATGTTTGCTGTGACTCTCCCACTGGAGATGTGCTCTCGCCTCCTGTAATCCTCACCTACTTAAGTGACCATAGAGTGTAAAATGTGTAGGTTTGGGAAGCACATAGGCCTAGATTGAAATCCAAGGTCTGCCATTTATTAGCTGTGTGGACTTGGGCAAGTCATAACCACCCCGAGGCTCAGATAACAATAAGAGGCTGCGTAGTACAGTGGTTAAGAATGAAGACAGACTTGCATTTACATCTAAGCTGTACCACGTAAAACGTGTTTGACCTTCGACAGATTTAACTTCTCTACGTCTTGGCTTTCTTGTCTTGAAACTTATTAGGGTTGTGAGGACTAAATGAGATAATTCAAGTAAAATGAACATATAGTAAGTACTCAATATATGGTAACTATTGTTATAAAAATATTCTATTATAAAAAAATCTACCCCACCATTTGTTGTGAGAAGTGAGAAGGTATGAAGGTATTCAAGCATCAGGTGGTACTACTGATCTGGTGACCCTTCACAGACCTTGAAGATTTGTTTCTTCTGTGTGCTATTGACTCCTCGCACTAAATCTTATCCTATGCCTCATCCTCTTTAGTAAGCCTTCATGCCCACTAAGACGATGATTAGCTAATGAACTTAAGGTTCCAATGGTAGAAATCAAATCTATTTGATTTCTTCAGACACCCAGGGTTCTGACTACCCTCAAGGAACATGTGCACTTAAGCAATGGCTTTATGGAGACCATGTCTCTGCCTCTGTTGCCTAACCTGAGAATGGTGGTGTGCCTGGCCTCTTAGGCAGGGACAGCCATTCTGTGGCAAGCTGGTGAGTTATTTCATGGCAGGAAGAGTCCATCGTGGCCCTCAGTGCACTTCATATAGGCTGTAGCTTGATCATCCTTTATGGTGCATACTGTTTCTGGGGCTGGGACTGAGGCCATGGTTATGTCAACAGACCTCCCCTCTTTATCCCCAGTCAGCCCCCAAAGGGAGATGGATTTCCTCAAGGATTGAGATAAATCTAATTCTTTATCCATATGATTAAAAGAGCACTTTCAATATTTTTCTCCACCTAGAGATCCCTCTCCTCTCTATCCCTCAGCTCCAGAGTGGGACTTTTCTCTAACCCCAACCTATTCTTCAATAAGCCTGTTACCTCTTCTTTTGGAGAACCAGTTTGAGAAGCAACTGTAGAAACAACAGGCTCTCCCCAGACACATGAGTGTTCCTTCCTTTCTTCTCATTATTGCTGCTTTGTTCCTTCCTTCATTCATTCACTCATTAGACATTAAGTACCTCATATGTGCCAGGCAGTGGGAATAATACAAAATACAACTCCTACCATCAAAGATCCCAGTCTAGCAGGGGAAACAAACATGTAAACAAATAATGACAAATACAGAGAGGTGGTTGCTATACAACATAGCAGTAAGTATTAGAAGTGTGTGACACAGAAGAGGCACACTCTTTTGGGTGGGGTGGCAGGGTTGTAAGGGAAAACTTTACAGAAAAAAACATTTGGCTTGAGGGACCACCAAGTGTGAGAGGAGGCATTCCAGGGAGGATCAGTCACCAGTCGGGAAGAGAATTGTAGTAGATTAGAAAAACCTGAGCATTGGGCTATTCATGAAAGTAGTGAGAGACAAGACTGGAGAAGGCCATGGGCAGCTCCTGATGAGCCTTGTACACCACGTTAAGAACTTTGAACTTTATCCAGTAGGCTTTCATATGCATTCGAGTGGGCTCGCTCAGGCCACAGGGAGGAGAAAGGAGAGCCGGGTTGGCTGCGACTGACTGTTCAAGCAAGAATTGCTGAGAATCTGAACTTAAAGGGCAGTGGAAATAGTGAAGACTGTTTTGTGGGGTTTTTTTGCTGGGGGCGGTGCTTAAAATAAAAATTCTCTTCTCCCCTTCTGCCGTTTTCTGACTTAGAGGTGCATTAGGATATTAAGCCTGGTCCCCTTTCCCTCAGGTTTTCTCAGGTTGCGGCGGGTCATGCATCATCCACGCTCAGTCCTCTGCTCAGCACTACAATCTCCTCCCGTCTCCAAACTGTTCTCTTCAAATCCTCTTTTGTGCCTGGGTTTTTGGCCGCGGAATCTGGGGAGAAAGCAGAGGTAACTAAACTGGCCAAAGGTCTCTGGATATAATAAAAGCGTCATCCCAGTGGTTAAATGCGACAGTTGGTAGGAGCGCAGCACACCCGGAAAAGCCAAGAGCTGCCCGCCTCCTGCGGCGGCACTCGAAGAGGCGGGGCTGAGGCGGGGTCTGGGGCGGAGCCTCAGCCTGGAACTGCGAGGAGGGGCGGGGCCGGGGGAGGAGTTTTAGCCGGAGCCCGCGGGGTCCCTTCTGCGATAGAGCTGGTCGGAGCTGGGGGCGGGTTCGGTCTGGGAGGGCGAGGCTTGAGACCAAGCCCATGTTGCAGCCGAGGATTGCAGGCTTTTTGCCTCTGCAACGGCGGAGTGGGGCAGGACCGGGGGCGGAGTTTTAAGCCCAGTCCTCGGGTTCTTGTCTCTGATTGAGCGGGCCGGGTCCCGGGGCCGGTCCAGCTCTGCTTTTGACAGCTCTCTCTCTCACAGCCGCAGCCGAGTCCGGTGGGTTCAGGAACCTGTGGCCCCGTTCTCCGCGCGTCCCCGTCCCCCCGTGGCCCTGGCCCCGGCCATGAAGCGCATCTTCTCCTGCTCCAGCTCACAGGTGGCGGTAGGTGCCAAATGTCTGAGAGGATGGGCATGAGGCTGGGGTCCAAGCCCTGTGGTGACAGAAGTCCTGGGTCCCGTCTCCCGTCTCCGTGTACCATCGCCTTTTCTCTTTATCGGTCTTTCCAGCTCCTCCGCTCTTACAATGCAGCCTGCCAGCTCTGCCTTCCTCAACATCCTGTCCCCTAGCCTCTGACTTGCCTTCTAACCTGTGCTCTCCTCAAAGGACCTTTTCTTGTCCTCCTAGCATCTACACCCCCAACTTCTGATATGTTTTCTACAGCCCCTGCCCCCTCCTCAAAGCCCTGTCCTCTACTTCTGCTCTGTTTCCCAGTACTGAATTACCCCCAAGCATCTGCCCTATCCCCAGCCCCTGCTCAGCTCCAAGCTCCATTCTGTCTCCCAAGTCCTGCCCCACGGCCCCGTTTTCCAGCCCTGCCCTGTCCTCACAACCCTGCTTTCCCATATGGTCCTATCTTTGCTGTTTTCTGTCAGCCAAACAAGTACTTCCAGCCCTGTGCCTTCTCCTAGCCCTTCTTCATATAGTCTTCTCTGTCCTTGCCCCCATCTCACCTCATGCCACTTCCACTCCCATTCTCGAATCATCACCACTAGCTCTCAGACATCATTCCAAACCTCTTTCCAATTGGTGCTCCCACAATAGCAGCTTTCTCCTGTTCTCCCTTGCAACCTCTGCCCTCCTCTGCCCAGTGGTTGTTCAATCCCACTCTTCCTTATTTGCCCCAACCTCCTTCGGCCTGCCCTCTGTGGGTTAATCTTGCAGTCTGGCCAGCCTGACAGGCACTGCCAGAGGAGGCACAGTGGCCTGGCTGCTCCCCAAGGAACTGGGTAAGTTGCCTGCAGAATCCACCCTGGCCAGTTCACTGCAGTGTCTGGTCACCAGACTGGTTCTTGGGCTAGTCAAGGCCTTCTGCTTGCTTCTCCCCAGAATATTCCTTCATTCTAAACCCTCATCCAGTTGTTTAGGGCTTGTGCTCTGCTTCCTTTGACTGAGTTGGGGAAGAGTGATGGTGAGAGGAGAAGAGGATAGAGTGGATTCACTCTGAGACTTCCCAGTAGAAATCACTCTACTCCCCATGTTCTCCCAGAACAAATCACAAGGGAGAAGATTACAGAAGTTGGTGGCTCAGGGAAGGTATAGCTTCGTTTTCTCTGAAGATCTCTTACAGAGAGACCCTCTATCTGGGGATGAAATTTTCTGTGGATATTTGGATTATGGCTCATTTAGAAGTGTAGTAGCCAACTACCTGTAGTAATACTGCTTATCCTGACCTGACTTAGTGGTGTCATTCATAAGAAAGCATGAGAAATGCTCAGCTCACTCTGCATGGGCAGGCCACAGAAGCCTGGAAGTGAGCTATGAGGCAAGAGTAGGAACTCTGTTGAGGCCTGTCCTTGTCCCACTTACATTTGCTTCTCTACTTAGTTTCCACACATTGATCAACCAATCAAAAGGCATTTACTGAATGACTACTATAAGTAACAGAAACTGAGGCTACCCACACTCCGTCTTAACTCATAATGATTTTCTTATTCACATGGACTCTTCCCTAGTTACTGAAAGTCCTCCACCTTGCCCTTCCCTTTCAGGTTTGTGGAGTCTGCCTGCTCCTTAGGAATGGGGAAACTATTTCATTCTTCCTGATTCTCCAGTCCTTGGTCAGTGCCTGCCTTTCCAAGATGCTGGGGTGAGCAATGGGCTGAATGTTGGAATTTGAAAGCATCGCTTTGCCCTTCTTTACTCCAGCTCTACAGAGGTTTGGCCATGAAGAATTTCCACTCATTCTAAACTCTTCTTAGTATAACAAGATTATAGGTAAATTGGGTGGATTTAGAACTATCTAGCTGGAAAGAAAACTGTTTCCTCAGTCAGAATGGGATGACAAAAAGGTTGAAAACAGGCCAGTTTCAGGGGCAAATTGTTTCCTCATGAAACTTCCCCAAACTTCTCATGATAAATTCCTCCACTCCCTGGGTGGCTAACCATTCTGGACTCATTTGTCAGAGAAATAGTGTGACAGCCTTCCTGGCCACTCCCAAAGCCTGGCTTCCCAGTCATGCCGGAAGATTGCCCTTGCCCATTCCCACTGCCAAACCTGGGTCCAGGGCAAGAGCCCTGCACCCTCAGATTGAGATAAGGACTGAAAGATCAGTGATCATT